ATATTCAAAAAAAAAAAAAAAAAAAAAAATGGGTGAGTTTTATCCCATATGATATTACCCAAAAAAAAAAAAAAAAGGAAGTCGTATTCATTTTCATATTTCTTAAGAGAAATAAGGATTTTAGACCGTGACATGTTCATGTGCTTATATAACTAGGTATAGGTGAAAATACAGATATTAATGTAAACAAATCATGAAAATTACAGTGTTACAGGAAAAGAATCAAGATTTTTTTAACAAATTCAAAATTTTTGGAATTTTGAAATAGAGATTCACTTTGATTTCTCAAATATGCAATATTCATATTGATGATTATTAATCACGAAATTTTTCTTTCGATTCAATCCACCGCAAGTGTACGATTCATAACAAGTAATACAGTGAAAAATTGAGTCCAAATGTCGTCTCACAAATATTGATTTAGTTCAATGTTATTTATCCAGACATTAATCGAAACTAAATTATCACAAGTAATTTTATAACCTAATTACTCCCTAACCTAAGCTAATTATGCAATTTATTATGCATGCAATGAACAAAATGCAAATTGATTTTTAAATGAACTAAAATGCTATTAAATGTTGAGAACTCAATTTAATGTATTTAATGATTGTATAACGCACTAGGATCACAAATTCCAAGTAATGTTCAATTTAACCCTAATTTCACAAATTGACAATACGATAAAATTTCGAAGAATCAATGCTCCTAAATATATCCAACACTCTCTCTCGACCAACTTTGAACCTAATCTCATATACCACCAGCCTATATCTCTATGACGGATGCAAATATACAAGAATGCATGTGATTTTGTGAGCACTTAGATATTCACGTAGGGCATAGCGATATATCTCTATTCCCTATCGGACCTTATGATAATTTATACCATGTTGAGCCTATTTTCCTTCTTTCGAATACAAGAAACATGTCATCCAAACTCACACAATTATAGGCCCTTAATTTTGGAAGAAATTAAATGTATATAAACCATTCAAAATAATCAAACGTGGTTTAATGTCAAAAATATGAAACAAAGAATTAAGAATCATATTATGATTACACCCAAAGAATAATGCGGTAACCATAGTATAGCATAGGGGTGTCGATTCCACACGGAGATGGAAAGTTTCACAAAGGATCAAACAAACTAGGATTTTCATGATTTTATGTGAGGATGATTTATCAATTGGAATAAAGGATTAATATCAATGTATGAAATAGTGAAGCGCCGAAATTTTTTCGATTAGATATGTTCAATCAATATCAATTTTGATTTAATTGATTTTTAAATGAACTAAAATGCTATTAAATGTTGAGAACTCAATTTAATGTATTTAATGATTGTATAACGCACTAGGATCACAAATTACAAGTAATGTTCAATTTAACCCTAATTTCACAAATTAACAATACGATAAAATTTCGAAGGATCAATGCTCTTAAATATATCCAACACTCTCTCTTGACCAACTTTGAACCTAATCTCATATACCACCAGCCTATATCTCTATGACGGATGCAAATATACAAGAATGCATGTGATTTTGTGAGCACTTAGATATTCACGTAGGGCATAGCGATATATCTCTATTCCCTATCGGACCCTATGATAATTTATACCATGTTGAGCCTATTTTCCTTCTTTCGAATACAAGAAACAAGTCATCCAAACTCACACAATTATGGGCCCTTAATTTTGGAAGAAATTAAATGCATATAAACCATTCAAAATAATCAAACGTGGTTTAATGTCAAAAATATGAAACAAAGAATTAAGAATCATATTATGATTACACCCAAAGAATAATGTGGTATAGTATAGCATCGGGGTGTCGATTCCACACGGAGATGGAAAGTTTCACAAAGGATCAAACAAACTAGGATTTTTATGATTTTATGTGAGGATGATTTATCAATTGGAATAAAGGATTAATATCCATGTATGAAATAGTGAAGCGCCGAAATTTTTTCGATTAGATAGGTTCAATCAATATCAATTTTGATTGAGAATACTCAATTAAAAGTTTTCATCCCAACACTTTAATTGGAAAATAAAACATTCAAGCCCTTATTTAATTTATTTAGTAATTCCAAATCTAGGTTTCTTTCACAATATAATTCCACAATGATTTGTTGAAATTAGATCCCAAAGCAATTATATATATCAAGCATATAATGGTAAAGAATCAAACCAATAAATTGTTTGAAATTGAAAATCAATCAACATTTCGATTGTTCAATGAAGAAAATATGATTGAACTCATAAAAATCTAATGTGAATTAACCCAATTCCAAAATATATCCAATAACATAAGAAATCCAGATTTAAAATTGTTCAATAATGAAAAACACCTTACATGCAATAAAAGACTTAGAAATTCCCAAATCTCACCGTGTTCATTCGTGGCTTCACCGATTAATTTAGTTTGCCATAGAGTTCTGTGCCCAAGATGAGAGAAAGGAGATAGGAGATGGGGGCGTGTTCTGGTCGAATTAGGGTTTAAAATCGAGTGCCAAATTATTTCCAAAAAAGGTTGAATGGAATAAGGAAACTTGAAGATTCGGCAAAAACTTGTTCCGTGCGATTTTTTTCAATATTTTGGTCATAACTTTCTCCCTAATGTCGGATTAAGACAATTCAAAGTGTGTTGGAAATCTAACACAAATGAATACAATTTTACTAGAAATAACTCTTTCCAAATTCAAACGTTTACTAGGTCCAAAATGGATCTCAATCTCCAGCTTAAAATCTGGAAATCCTAATGCTTTTGGCTTCTAATTGCACCCAATGGACTCCTAGCTTTCTCGAATCATCATTCCATCACCCGTCTCATCTTTAGATTATTTGTAACTCAGTCCTGAGCTTTTACTTTCTTTCACTTTAGTCTTTTTCCGTTCTTTTCTTCTAAATTTCACCGTATTCACCCATTTGCAACTTAAATCAAAATATAAGGATACTTAGTGCGTATAGACGTCAATATATCATGCAAATACAAGTATAAATGGATAAAACATGACAAATTGTGCTATTATTACATTACAAGGTTCATCAATCTCTTAGTACATAGATTTTAGTCTAACATGGAGAAAGTAACAAAATACATGATATTTGGAAGAAATAACATCAGCGGATCAATAATCGAATGAAATACAGTTGATCTTCATGAAATCCTTCATTATTGTGGCTCCACATTTTCTCTAAGATGTGTTTTCTCACTTCCCAATGCGTACTCGCTTTATTATCATGGCTTCAGAGTTTATATGTCACGTCCCGTATTGGTTTCACAAGAGTTTTAACGAAAATAGAAAACTGCAGATTCGCCCCCAGAAAATCAACTATGCGACCGCATAGTGAAATCAAATTCAACCTTGGAAGTCTCTGCCGTAGTGGATGCAGTCGCATGGATTTCTCTACTATGCAACCGCATAGTAGAGTGATCTTTCACTTTTGGCCGTTTTTGTCCCCAAAATTTGTTCTCTTCTATTTTGACCTCGTTTCTTGATTCTTCTCATTCCATCGACCAATAATAGCCTCCAATTGGTACTCAGCTCAACCAATTCCTCGATTCCTCCTTCGGGTCATCTTTTGAGTATTTGCACTTTGGTTTCTAAACTTTTGTTTTCCTTCATTTTGATAATTTTTCAAGTCTTTTCTCTTGATTTCCATAACATCCATCAATATAACCTATAAAATAAGATTTAATAGAATTAAGCCACATTCCAACTATATTTATCACGAATTAGTCATGTTTTGTGGCTTGAATAAGTGAATAAAAACACATTTATCAAACTCCCCAAACTTGAACTATTGTTTGTCCTCAAACAAGATAGTGACTTAACTTTACACAAAACATGACTTGACAGCCTGTCGTGTCTCAGGATTGAAATTCAGAAATCAACACAGGAAATAGTTTCAATAGTGCAATAATAAAATCAACCCTTATCTGTTAAACGCATACTCAACGTGTGTGTGTTCTCATGCCAACATATTAAGCTCATGATGGATTAATCTTGACCTAAAGTTGTCTAATATATCCTTACCTCGCTTGAGAGATACATACCCCCCAAACCTAGTCTTTTCTCTCAATTATCCCGGGGTGTGTTTCAAAGTTAAGAGTTTAAGCATTTACAGTCCTTACCCTCTCTTAGCTTGGATAGATCTCACTATCACAGGTTCACATGTCAACAAGTAAAGGCTCTCCTAGTTTTGATTGCTTC